CAGCACGCGCTCAGGAGAGAACAAATGCTGGAATTCGTTCTGTCGCTCGCTATTCCAAGCATCCTTCAGTTAAAAGCAGCTTCTGTATTATTTTTACCTCTCATCTTGAAATATACCATGACTGTTTGTGCGGGAGCATCTGTGACCAGAACCAGCATTGCTTGCACAGACTCTGCCACATCCAGCCTTCTCTTACTCTATAGGATCCTTTCATGTTGTTCGACATGCTCAGAGCTCCAAGAGAGAGGGAGAGCCGGGGAAGGACGCCTGGATCACAGGAGCGGTGATCCGAGCCACTCCTGTGGAGGGCTCCAGTTCTCACTTACTGCAGCTTCCGGGCTGTCTGACCTGGAGGCAGAAGCGGAATGAGCTGACTGAGACCAGGCTGGCTTCCTCACCTTTTCTCTTCAGAATCTTACATCTCAGGGTGTCAGGTCTCCTAAAACAGGGCACTGTTACTGTTTCCTAAGGCAGGAGTTTGTTCTTGCTAAACAGAAAGGGAAAGACTAGCAATCATACGTGCAGCATTGACTGAACACACACACGCACAGGCACACACACACAACAGTAAGAATAACAAAACAAAGCCCCAAGGAATACGACCTCTCTGGTTGAATGAAAATGCGTGTATATTAGAGCCACGTAATTATTGCTAATGGTATATAAACAGTAGAAAAGTAGTTGCTTTAACCAGACAGCACAGTAAAGACAGGGCAATACTAACAGTTTAGCTCTCACTAACAAATCCATAGTGCTTCATTTCTACAAATAGCGGAACTGGGCTTCTCCTACGGAGATGATGTGCTCACCCTGGCGCCTGCCTGCCGGGTGTGGGACTTTGTGTAAGCAGTTTTACCTGGTGTGTGCCTGAACTTCGGGACCGCATTGGAAACTCCCAGGCTCTCGGAGCTGAGTTCTTGGAAAGCTAGATTTGACAAAGCTAGACCGGCTGTACACAGCAGTACTCCCCTCTAGGCTTCCCACCTCCATCCTTGCCATGTTTAAAGAGCAGAGCCAGCTTAGCATGGCTCACGCACATCTGCATGTTTGCTCTGTCATTCCCTCCAGCCTGACCGCTGCTGTGTCCTGTCCTCCATCTACAGTCAGCCCCTGGAAGGAATGCACCTCAGAGAATTGTCATGGGCTGACCTGACAGAGAACCGAAGGTTCCAAAGTTCTCGTCTCGTGGTCCAAGGGACAGGACCAGAAGGAAGCTTGGCACACTTCAATTTTGTTTCTTTATCACAGAAATCTTTCTACTTTTCCTTCCAAAAGGTTACAGCTGTTCTGAGACAGTGAGGAAGAAACAAATTTAGTCCAAAGAAAGTGTCAATTATGTCCCCTCAAGACCAAGGCTCTTCGAGTTTCACTTGTCCCCAGGTCTAGCTTCAATGCTGGGAGCATATCTTGCAATACAGTGTTGGTGTGCAATGGTCTAAAAGTCAGCGTTGTATCTATCTCCAGCTACACTTGCTTTTCTCTTGATTTTTATTAAAAACTAGAAAATCGATGTTCTCAAAGAAATACCTCTCAATAGCAAAATTGCATCAACATATTGGACATCAATGAAGACCCTTGAGAAGCTTCCCCCAGTTTCTCCATAATGTCACAGAAGCTGCCATCGTGTGGCACTGATATTAAACCAGTATGTGTGCCTCATGGCCACTGCCTGATTCAAATCCCCGTGCTGCAGGTCACGCGCCAGACTGTCAAGGCGCTTTCCTCCCATCAGCCCTGGGTTCCTCCCTGCCCTGTGCCACTGACTTCCAGCCAGGAAGGGAGTCACCATGCAAAGCTACACCCGATTTCGCCAAGTGCAGGAGACAGGCGTGGGAAGGATCCGGCTTTGCTTTTACTAATCTCTGGTACTGAAGAAATCAATAAGACTTATACTCAAACAAATGACACTGGCTTTCCTCATCCTGCAGAGAGTATGTTACTGCTAACTAAGATCTAGCATTACCCTGACAGTTTTTTAAAATATAATTTTACAATGCATCTATTTACTAGGATTATTCTAGCTATAACTCATTCTAAGTAACTCCTTTAGTGTTCTTGTTTTCTTTATGGGCTCTTGTCGGTGGGAAGTTTTAGCCTGACATGCCTGTGAGGAGGGCAGTGGTGGCTATGGAGGAGAGAGTGTGAGTGGTTATTAGCGTGGAGCTATGTGTGGTGGGAGAAAAGAGAGTGTCAACCAAGTGAGGCCCGGCAGCCTGGGATTCACACGCACTGCTGGGCGACAGCAGTGCGGACCGGCACTGCCCGTCGGAGAGCTGGCCGGGGAGGGGCGATAGCGCTGCCTCTAGTGCTGCTCCCTCTCCAGATGATATCAGGCTCCAGGAGAACATTCAACCTGGAGAGAGAAAGACATTTGGATCTTGAATATCAACCTCCAAAAGACCCATCTATTGAAAGGTCGGTTCCCGGCCTATGGCCATGCTGAGGGGCAGAGCCCGGTGTAAGGGAGCTGTGCACCAGGACATGTGCCTTCGAAGAGAACGCCCAACCTCTTCTTGTTTCTAGCCTTCCGGTGAGGCTTCACTCTCTTCCTGCTCCTGCCTTCCTGTCCTGTGCTGCCACAAGACCAAAGCAACAGGATCTCTGATACCATGATCCAAAATAACCTTTCCTTCCCTTTAAGTTCATTATCTCTGGTACTGTGTTATAGTAACAAAAAGCTGCGGAGGCTTCTGATGACAACTCCTGTCCACTGTGGGCAAAGCAGCACCTGCTCTTCTGGTACTCTGTCTCAGTGCTAAGTGGGAAAATGCTTGTTCATTCAGCGTGCATTAGATTGACAGCTTACAAATATGTTAATCAGGTACAGAGAGCCGGCTCTCGGCCGAGGCTCTCACCTGACTGGTCATCTGACTGGTAGGATTTTACAGTGGTTACTGGGGAGTAAAAGGCCTGTGGAGAAAGTTCTAGAAAGAAGGGCTTTGATACCTGCAGGGGTGATGGTGACAGCTGTTCAGAACCCAGACTGTGCAGAAGGACATTGTCCTGTTCCCTAGCACCTTCAGCACAGGGAAGGCTGAGTTTCCTTCTGCTCCCCAAGTAGAGCTGCCCAGAACACCCAGGATGCAGCTATTCCGGGGCGCCATAGCCAGTCACCCAGTGACCACAGAGTGGCTGACACTGGCGATGCCACACTGCCCAGGTGTGGTGGTGAATTCCTGTAATCCCAGAACCTGGAGGCTGGAGGACCGTTACCACCTCCACACCAAAGTAGACTGGCAGTTACTAAGCACCAGGCCAGCCTGGGCTACAAGACTATATGCACAAAAATAAAAATAAGAATGGAAATTAAAGGGAGAGGAGAGAAATGAAATGCCATCACTGGCTGGCTGAAAAGGTCTGCCCTGGGTGGGGAGCACGCCGAGCGGCTCTGTTGGGGGCCACAGCAGCCCCGTCTGTTTCAGAGAATGTGGTAGGAACCAGGAAGAGGGAAGAAGCCCCCAGCAAGAATGACAGGCACCAGACTGCTTTAGAAGGCGAATGTGCGTGCTTGTCCGCACAGAAGGGAGGCAGGAGCAGCACCTGTGAGTTAACTCCACACTCCTCTTGGTAGCTGGGGAAGCCACGTGCAGGCAGCATGGGCATGGCAAGTGTGCTCAGGGCGCTGTGCACGCCCACTGCTCACTCCACACCTCCCCAGCCTCCGCCATGTAAAGGATTGGTGAGATTTCTAAATTCAAATTGTCTGGGGACAATTGGAGCTGGCTTATAGAATGGGTGCTCCTCTTGGCAGGTGTCCCCAACTCTATTTTCATAACCGTTCCTCCCCAGCCAGCACTGTAACTGTGGTGAGCGTAAAGTACTAGCCCAACAGCCACTAGAGAGTGCTTCCACCCCCACAGGCTAAATCAAGAAACGCTCACGTCTACCTGATTCTTCAGTTTACAAACCAAATCACCCATGTCCTGGTCACTTCTCAGGTTAGCCAGAAGCTAGACAATCATTGGCACTGAAAAAAAAAAGTGTAAGGGAGTCTCTGAGAACTACCTTTTTCTGCCCCTGACACTCAGGATGGCTACGCACAGTCTTACAACCTGCATCCTTTTAGGAAACAAAGGAAGGATGGCACTGAGCCAGCACAGCGGAAATGGGAATGACACCAATCTTGGTTTACCTGTGGTCCCTGCATCGTGCTAGTGATGGAGAGAGAAGCAACTTGTGATTCAGAGACAAGAGAGATGCTTGGTGCTAAGAAAAAATACAAGTGGGTGAGTTCAAGCGTTAGGGATCAGGACCATAAGACAAACATCTCCTGCGGCAGGAGGGGCAGGAGGTCTGAGAACTCCTGGTTCTAGGCTGCAAAGAGAAAAGACAAGAAATTACCACAGCTTCTGCCCCAGGGCTCAGCCTGTTTACACTGAACTGCCCATGCCCGGGCTTAAGAGCCCAGTTACATGACTCAAGAATGTTGTGAGCAGAGAAGGATCCGTATGTCCTTCATAGAGGGAATTCTGCCTCTGTAACCTGGATAGAAATAGCTCTATTATGGGCCTATGACTCCAGATTTGCATAACTTAAAGAGCCATGAAATGGTCCATGGTCCATTCCTAATTATTATTGCGCCTTGAACCAAACCCACAGAAAGTATGATGCTTGGGTTTGCAGTCCTGATGAGGCAGGTTCACCAGGCATAAGGAGCACCCGGCTGGGGGGCGGTGGAGGCAGTGTCTGTGTGGCAGCTGGAAGCCTGCCGGAAACCCCAGCACCTTCTGCTCAGTTTTCCCATGAGCCTAAAAGTGATCTGAAAAATAAAACATGGACTGAAAACCCATGCTCCCACAGGTTATGGAGTGGCCTCGTATAAAAGATGGATGGATAAGACCCACTTCGGTAAAACTTTCAAAAGAATTTATCCTAAGGTCTGTCTAGTGATTTCAGAGCTAATGGGTGTTGTTCACAGGATGTGGTGGAATCCAAAATGATACTTGGTGGTTGTAATTTTTATTATTAAGAGCAAAAATAAATAAACAAATAATAAAACCACTGCCCCTAGAGGCATTTCAGGTGTGGCTCCTGTGTCACATATCAGTAGGTGGCAGAGAGGAGAGAGACTCCATCTATGCTCGGTGTTCAGATAGGGAGGTAGCCTGCGACAACCAGGCCCAGACAGGCTCCCAGAACAGTGAACCCTGCCAGGACCACAGGCCCCGGGTGGGAGCGGGCCCAAGACAGAGGGCCCTCTCGTGGTGCCACTAGGGCAGACCGGGTGAGAGCGAGCCTGAGATGACCCCCAGTCCAGCAATTAGAAGGCCTAGGGCACAGACCATACCTGAGATGACCTTTGCCCCGTGCCATAACACACAAGCAGGGCTTGGCACTCCTGAGACCACTCGAGATGACCCCAAACACTCAGAGACCCCCGGCACCTCCAAAAGAAGTGAGAAGGGAAAGAGGCTGACCTGGAGGAACAGCCTGGTCTGAATAGCTGGCAGTTCCACCTGGGACCAGGGTCCTGGCCTGTGCTGTCACTGGGGGCCCTGTCTGGGCCCAGGCCCTGTAGCAGCAGGGGTCTGCTACCACCAAAGGTCAGGCAGCTGTCACTGGTCTGGGCTGACCCTCACATGGGGGTACATGTTGATGTCTGAGGGCTTTACAAAACTGGACCCACCCCTCACCTGGGCATCCTGGGAGTGCTGGCCCTGGGGACAAAATTTGTCCTGCTGACCAGATGTGCAGGGACAAAGATGGAGTGGAGACTGAGAAAATGGCAAAGCAAAGACTGGCCCAACTTGAGACCCATTCCATGGGAGAGAGCCAACCCCTGACCCTATTGTTACTCTGCTATCCTGCAGAAAGGAGCTGGGCATAACGGTCTTCTGAGAGGCTGCAGCCAGCAGCTGATGGGAACAGATACAGAGACCCACAGCAAACATTAGACAGAGCTTGGGGAGTCCCGTGTAAGAGTTGGGGGAACGATTGAGGGAGCTGGAGGGGTCAAGGCCAATGGGGGCTCACAGAGATGGAGCCACCAACCCAAAGAGCGTGCATGGACTGGTTCCAGGCCCCCTACACACATGAAGCTTGGCCTTCATATGGGTCCCCCAACAACTGGAGCAGGGGCCTTTCTAACTCTGATCCAGTTCCGTTCCTCTAACTGGGCTGCCTTGTCTGGCCTCAGTGGAGAGGTTGTGCCTAGTCCTGAAGCAATTTAAGGTGCCAGGAGCGGGGTAGTTACACATGAGGGCCTCCCCCTTCTCTGAGGATAAGGAGGGAGGGGAATGGAGGGAGGGTTCGCCAGGGATGGACTGGGAAGAGAGGAGGGGGCTGCAATCAGAATGTAAAGCGAAAAGATAAATGTATTCACTTTAAACAAAAAGTGAATACAAGTTAAAACAAAAAGTGCTGACAAAAGTACACTGTGCGGTACACAGTGACACACTTCAGCTGGCACAATAAGATCTTTTTTCTCTGTTGGGGGTAGGTTACAAGGATGGAGAGCGGGTATGAGGGCAGGGGGAGATGAGTGGGATCGGGGTGCGTGCTGTGAAATTCACAAAGAACCAGTAAAAGTTTTTAAAGCAAAACAAATGTGTTTATTAGTTCCATTCTTGGTACAAATATAAATGTAGCCAAGAGTGCATTAACATATACTTGTACTCACACACACACACTAGAGAGACAGAGAGAGGAGGAGGAGATGCTAGGCAGGAGCAAAGGCTCCAACAACTGTGAGCTTGGGGACTTCACATACAGTGTGCTGCCGGGTGTGTGTGCACTGGATGAAACAGGCCAATTCTGGAGCCAAGGTCCACCATCACTGTGACTGTTTATCTTGAAGATACAGTGTTTTGCCAGTGGACTGTGGGGGTGGACATCCAGGGAGGAAAAGTGATAGGATGTGATTCCAGCCTGCAAGGCAGGAAGAAGACAGTGCTGGGCTGCCTTCTCATTGGCTGAGCGTGGATATCTTGTGCTCAACTGGGTAGTTACCGCTTTGCCGTAAGCAAGGTACTCCTGGAGAAAAATCCATCTGCTCTTGTATGCTGAGTACGCTTAGTAAATATTTAATGTCAACACTGCATCCTCCTCAGGCTTGATACATCACTCTGCGGTCTCAGGTAGCAGGTCTGATGCTTCCTGTGTGGCTGTGTCACACGCACCCTCACTGGGGTGACTGAGCTATCTGCAGTCAGACATGCTGTCCATGGCAACAGCACACAGAGCAAACACTCAAAGACCGATGAGCTAGCGTAAGGGCGAAATCCGCAGCCTCCTGTGTTCCTACTCCTCACCAGATGCTACTTCCTGATGCTTCCATTTTCTGGATGAAGATGAGTGAGGAGGAGATTCAAAGACTAGACAAGCTACATCCTAAGTGTACCTCATTCCCAGTGTCATGGGCAGACACCCCACATCTCTGCCCCCTATAAAGCACAGTCTTTTCCCTAATGACATCATTCATCTTCCTCGATTCACTCTGAAAGTTATTTTCTAAAAGGATGGATGCCTTTCTCTCCTGTCTCTGTAGGGGAGTTGTTCTCCTGAAAGTGAAATTGGGAAATCCGGTGAAGTAATGGGCCTGAAGCGTCCTGCTGAGTCTTCTGCCAGCCCACCATGAACAAAGACATTCGAGAGTCTGGGCCAATGTTTCAGAGTGTGTTTTCACCTGGGTAGCTTAGACCCATTTGGATGACGCATCTGTGTGTGTGTGGTGTGTGTTTGGAGGGGGGGGGAATTCTTACTAACCCCATAACCAAGCATGGGGAACTTTTCCAGTCCCATGTAACCAGCCATCCATACTCCACCACTGCTAGCCCATGGGACACAGAGTGAAAGGCATCAACAAAGCGTTCTCCCTGCCCAGCATTCATTCATGTTAAGTGATTTGCCCAGAAATGCCATTTGCTCTTTGCAGTTATCCATGCTGTGATGCCTCCTCACCTTCTGGAGCTGCAAACCTGAATTTTACAGCGTGCACGGCGTGAACTGTGAGGCTGCGTGAAACTGGAACAGGATTAGCTGTTTCTCAATTGCCAGATGCATTCTAACCATCCCGAAACCTACAGGCAACAGCTCAAACCCTCGTGGTCTCCTAGGGTCGCCTTGAGACTTGGGAACTTTTCCAAGAGAAAAATACGGATTTCACAAAGACCAGCAGATCGTCAGGACTCACAGATTTCCCAAGTCGGTAGTAGCTGGCAAGCTCTGGGCAATGTGAGCCGTGGTTACATGGTTCACGCTGATGTACATGCTGGCACTGTCCCATTTGATGTCTTCCCAGCCCTGGGACCACTCCGACCCACAGTGTGGCTCTGTATAGCCTGGTAAAGCTACACGTTGCTACTTGTGGTCCAGGACAGGTTGTGTGCAATAGTGGTTGTGGAGCTGCACTGGGCCTTTGTGCTTGCTTCCAGGTTGGCTCAGAAATTGAGATCTTTGGTTTGTTTTGTTTTTCTATTTGTAGAGAGCTTGAGACTCTTTTTACCCTTAAAGCAATGTGAGAACATCAACCCTTTATTCAGTTGGACTTTTGGGTCAAAAGGTACATTGGTCTTGTGTTTCCATTCTTTCCATCTCAAAAGACTATAAAGGTTAAAAAAAAAAAAAAAACCAAACAAACTATTAGCCCTTAACAAAGAAGAACAGAGGCGAGTTGCAAAGTTAAAGATGGGCTAGATATGTTGTCAGTCACTTGGCCAACAATTGGTGAGGCCAAGCAGTGGCCCAGGTACAGCAGCGCTGAGTACCTCTGAAGTAAGGGTCAAGAGAGCACTGAAAGTGTCTGTATCGTATCACCGATATTTGTCTCCACTCAAGTCATCTATAGAGAGCCCCACAGCCATGCTTCTGTAAGTAACCTGATAAGCTCATTGCTTCACCAGGCAGGCAGGATTTGGGTGGACTCATATCTTCAGTCCGTCTTTGGTGCTTTATCTGTGATTAACAAATGTTTGTTCTCGTATCCCCAGGAAAAGTCATGCCTAGCACGACCTATGAGCATGGAGCTGAGAAGAGATACTCAGAACTTTGTGAAAATGACCAGAATGGCTCCAGGACCATGAAACGTAGTGAACATAGGAAAAATGACTGAAGGGGACATTCTGAAGTATGAGAAAGCCTTGGTTTGTCTCCCTTTTCTGTATCCGATGCTCATATTTTAGTAATGATAACAATACCTTTCAGCAAGTAGATGAAAACATTTATTCCAAAGATTCTGACAGGTTAGTAAGTCTGGAAATATTTACAGTCAAGAGAAACTGACACTCTCCTTGCAATTCTTTCCATAAACAAGCCCACTCGACAGATATCTTCCCGGGTGTTGAGGCCAGCCCATGTGTAAGCAGACCTCCAAAGAGAAGCAGAGAGGACAGCATTCCCAGCAAGTGGTGCTGTGGAAACTGGATGTCCACATGGAGGTGGCTGAAATGAGACTCACATTATCACCCTGCCCCCAAATCAGCTCCAAATGGATCAAAGGCCCCAATCTGAAGACAAAACACTAAAATGATTAGAAGAAGATACAGGAAATATTCCACAAGACATGGGTCCTTTCTGATAGGACGCCATTCACTCATGAATCAAGGCCAACAACTGACAAATGGGACCTCATAAAACAAAAATGTTTCTGTAGAGCAAAGGAAACAATCAAGAGTAAAAATGAACCCCAAGAGTGGGAGAGAGTCTTTGGAAGCTATTCATCTAGTAAGAGGATTGACATACAGAATACATAAGGCACATAAAAGTGGGCAAGGAAGCAAATGACCTCATTTAAAAATGGGCTAACGGTGTGTACAGAGTTCTTAGCAGGACTGAAAGTGGCCACTAAACATCTTTAAAAGTGTTCAGTATCTTTATCAACTGGAAAATCAAAAGCAAAACTCGTAGAAATTTCATCTCACAGACGTCGGAAGAGCTGACCAATGTGGACAAGGACGTAGAGAAGGGAATGGAAACTGGCGCATCCACTGTGAAAACCAGTGCGAATTCTCAAAAAGCCAAAAGCAAATCTGCCACGTGACCTAGCTAGCTGTGCCATTAATGGCCAATGCCCAGAAAGTAACCTTAGACAACACAAATTAAACAAAACAAGAAAAAGAAAAAAAAAATTTGTTTTTGTTTTTCCAGACAGGGTTTCTCTGTGTAGCCATGGCTGTCCTGTAGACCAGGCTGGCCTCGAAC